CAGATGGCTTCTGCTCATTCTGCTAGAATTGTACAGGAGTGGAAATCATTTACCGTACTTTATAAGCTTGTACTGGAATATGCTTGCCATTTTTATAGTTCATCTAATCATCAACGTATATTAACTTTACTAAACATTTCAACTTTAATATTTTGAACTATCCATGTTAAAATTCTTTTGAGCAGTAATTTTTGAGAAAAAGTTTGATTTTTTCTATCAAGGATAAAGTAAAAGTACATTTTTGTTTGAATCAATGTATATTTATATATTTTGGTTTTAGATGGCAAAATTTTCTTGTTTATACACATGCAATTAATGATCAGAGAATTTGTTGATTTAAATTATTATCAGAGAGTGGAACAATTCTTCAGATGACATTGGTGGATCAAAAAGCATGTTTCAGGAAGTAGTTTTAGTTTATTAACAATGTATCAAGTGCAACAAACATTCATTTTCAGTTACAAGAAGCATTAAATATCAAAATTTTGATGGAAATAAGTATATACAAAAATAATATACAAAAGTAAATGTTTGAACTAGAAAAATTACCTGAAAACTCAGAGTTCAGAATAATCTGTTAGTCAAGGGATTGACAGCTGCAGTCCAATCTGTTGAGATAAGGGGTTGGTAGCATTTTGTGAAGCTATTTTTTATTAAAATCTTAGTGCTTGAAATTTTTTGAGTATTGACTCAAAGGCCTATTTTTAAATTAAGTCTTCAATTTTTGAAGACTTAATTAAGTACTTAAGACTTAATTAAGTACAATTTTGAAGACTCAATTTTTCAATTAATTAAGTACATCAATTTTTGTAGTACAAATGATAATTTATATAATTTACTGGTACAGATATTTGCTTGTCTGACAGTGTAATGTGTAATCACATCCCTCAGGCCTTATCTCAATTCATTTGTAAAAATTTTAAATGTTACGGTACTAAATATATTTTCCAAAACTGGGTCATTGTAATTGTGTTTAAAACATTTAGTTATAACTAACTATTGAACTTGTAACCACATTTTCCATGGTTTGAAGTTGGCACCAATAGGTCCAGAAAGTGTCAATCAAACAAATTTTTTAATTTAATACGTATGCTAAGAAAATTTTTTTGTGACTTCCTTTTTTATTTTGTGTGACTTCCTCAAAGTTTCTTATGGTCCACTGAATGATATTATTCCATGAACTTTGTTGTTTGATTATTCAATGAACTTTGTTTTCTGATTATACCACAAACTTTGTTCTATAATTATTCCATGAACTTTGTTCTTTGATCATGCCACAAACATTGTTCTTTGATTATCCTGCAACCATGTTTTATGATTATTCCTTGAACTTTGTTCTTTGTTTATTCTGTGAACTTTGTTCTCTGATTATGCCACAAACTCTGTTCTACAATTATTCTGTGAACTTTGTGCTTTGATTATTCCATGAACTTAGTTTACCTTGTGCATTGCAGGGTGCAACATGTCTCGCGGAAACACCCAAAAGGAGAAGGAAAGCAATAAGCTGCCAATCTTGTCACGCACCTACACAATCATCTCCCCGGAGCAGGTTGCTTCTGGCGCCAAGTCTACGTGGACTAGAATGGAGATAACAGGTGTGTAGGCTTGTGTATTTTATTGTGTGTTTTGCTGTATTGCTGTTAAATGTATTGGAAGAGACATAACTGTAATATTTACTAAGGTATTTCTAGCTGTAATACCTATAACATGCTTCTGTTTACCAAAACATGAGTGGAGATAAGTTATATACTCTAGTATGGTTCTTGCTGTGGCCATTTTCAAATATTTTTTGAGGTTTTGAAATTTGATAATAATGTACTAACCTCAAATATTATCCAATCCAATATAATTTCAGTTGTGCATATAGGTACTGATCTAACTGTGAGTTTCTTAATGTTGAACTTCATGCCTTGTTAAAATGGTTGCATTTATTATGTACTTAATACATTATTTTTCATATTTTTATGACTTATAGTATGAGGGGTGCATTACCAAGTGCAAAAGATGCACCTGTTTTCTTCATAATTTCCATCTGTCACAAATTGATATATAAATATATGTACTAAGTAACCAATAGTACTGTCTCATGAACGTTTTGTATCAGTTTATTGTATGTAATGGATAGGCAGAAGTAATTTTTTAAATTTTTGCAGCTTTCAGTAGCTAAGGTGGGGTATGCATTGTATTGTAGTATTTGTACCAAATATTTAACAAATGATGGCCATGTTCACTGTTGTCTTCTAATTTTTTCACGGCGCTTGATTTCGCCTGATGAGCAAATTTTATTTCTTTCACAAGCTCACTCAGAGAAATACACAAGACTACTCAGATAGCTATGCACTTTTTAGCGCATTTTCTCATTTATGGAAAAAATGCACTATTGTGCTCGCCATGTCTGTCCGTCTGTCTGTCTGTCTGTCTGTCTGTCTGTCTGTCCGTCCGTCTGTCTGTGACTTCAAGTTTTCGTCGATAAGAAAATGGGCTCTCACTGCAGTGAGTACTGAGTTATACTTTTTACACTTGTGTGGGTTGTACTGACTGTACTGATCAGTTTGGCCTGGCTACAGGGCTATCAGTGCTATGATTGCTCTCTGCTTATGCTATTGATAAGTAAATAAGGTATAACTTTTTAGCTAATATGACCCATTGTGCTGTTACTAAGATATGTATTGAGCTGTGGTGGTGCAGTGGTGAGAGACTCTCTCTCTCGCACACAGCGAGCCAGTGATGGTCGTAGAACTACCAGTGGTATCGAGTGCCCGGAAAACTGACCTATCACCCCCCCTCCCTAGTCGCCACTACCAGGATGGGCAACAACAACAACACTAAGATATGTCATTATTTATTTAATCTAACACATTGTTTTCCTTGTGCAGGAGGCATCCGGAATTTGGCTCTAACGGTGTGCGACATGACGTTTCTAACAGCGCTGCTCATCAACGAGAACCAACTCATGCGCTTACCTCCTGCCATCGGCAACCTGGTCAACCTCAAGCAGCTGGACGCCTCTCACAACTGTCTTGTCGTCCTGCCGCCTCAGATCGGCGACCTCACTAACCTAGAGTGAGCCTGCGATATATTTTAGGTCTCAGATAAGCGGCCTCACTAACCTCGAGTGAGCCTGCGATATGTTTTAGGTCTCNTATTTTAGGTCTCAGATAAGCGGCCTCACTAACCTCGAGTGAGCCTGCTATATATTTTAGGTCTCAGATCTAAGTCGGCTATATAATTGTTTAATGTCCCGTGGGCCAAATTTCACACCCCAAATTTTGTTGCCATGCAAGACAGATTTGAGTTTATTCAGGAAACGTATATTATCTAGAATAGCTTCCAATTTTTCTCTCTGTAAGAAAATTTAATCTAGAAATTCAACATATTCTGAAACGTGAGTTCTTCTTTGGATATGTACATAAGGATCATGAATTTTGCGCCAGAAAGATTGAAAATATTTCAACTACAATTGTTGAAACTCAATTTTAGGCAAGGCACTATAAGGTACGGTATTCGAAAACTACTAATTGAGTCTACCAAATGAAAATCTAATTCTCATATTCCAATTGCCTGCTCTAGGGCACAATAAATTATTGAATTCGGTCTAAGTTTGAAATAACAAAAGTTCTAAATTCATTTATTGGAATGTGATGTTCTACATGTTAAAAACGTTTTCTATGGCAATGGGGTGTGGCTCTATACTATTTGCTTAGGTTATTTGCATAGCCTCGTGCTCTGTACCATTCCATGCGATGGGCGCAGGTTCTGGATGGTTGTAAGCTACTAGATGATTGGTAGTTTCACGATCACGTTAAACATGATCGTGAAAAAAAATATATTTTTTATATATTTATAAATATATAAAAATATATTTATATTTTCATCATTTTCAATGATGCCAAGATCGTGAAAGAAAATGAGAGTAGCAGACGTGTTGCAGGAAATGTACACCCGTTGCTCTTAAACGTCCGGGTTTATAATTTGATTGCTCTGGGTCTTACTTGATGTGGTTAAATAATCAATTGAAGACTTCGATTAATATTATTTCTACCCATATGTATGATAGTTATCTATTTCAACCAAAAGAAGTTATTTAAATGATTATCATGTTGGATTCCCACTGCCCTGTTCTCCAAAACCTGTTGCCTTTAAGCACATATTATGGCCTAAAGCAAGTTGTTTGCTTCCATTTCGTCGTTTTAATCCGAGATTATTAGTTTTCCACTCAGGAAAGGCATATTTTCGTTATACATTTTATTTTGGCACTGAATTAATCTGTGACACTTGCTTCTTTAATACATTTTGTTGCTATCGATGCTTCAGCTTGATGTCAGAGAAACATGATTTCTTTGAACTTTTTTATCAATTCACTTGTGTGAACTATTTGCTTAGGTTATTTGCATAGACTTTTTCTCTTCCGTATCAAGAAAAACTCTTTCGCATCTTTCTCTTCCATATCAAGAAAAACTCTTCCAAATCTTTCTCTTCCGTATCAAGAAAACTCTTCTGTATCTTTCTCTTCCGTTTCAAGAAAAACTATAATTTTTTTTGGAAAGGCTGACGAGATGACTTCTTTTTTTTGCAGGGAGTTGTTACTATGCAACAACCAGCTACACACTCTGCCCTACGAGCTTGGCAAGCTTTTTAACTTACAAGAGATCGATCTGAAGAACAATCCCTTGAGTCCTGACATCATAAAGATCTACAGCCCAGAGTCCACAGGCGTCCAGAAGCTTCTTACGTACATGCTTAACAACCTAATAGGTGAGTACTACTAAATGTTCTCCATGGGTCATCTATACTTCTATTGTAATTTTTGCAGGTTTATGACATGCGTAAATAAATTATGTTTCTAGTAAAATGAGTTATTAGTTGTTAGTAAGCAATTTCAGTGATGTCACCGAGCTCGAAAAATGTAACGGCTCTGCGCTTTTCTTGTCCACTGGCTTTAATCTTTTCCGATTCCGAATATTTATTAGAATATAGGAATAGAATTATCTTATTAGGTGCATGTATGATTTATGCCGTCGCGATTATGAAAGGCTCGTTACATCACATTGCTGTTTTTTCAGCCAGCTTCTGCAATTTTTCAAGCCAGCTTCTGGGACTTTTTAAAAAATCCGCTTATGTGATTCCTACGGCCTTCTACGGTTTTGAAGTGAAATTCGGAACGGATTTAAAATTATAGTAATAGTACGGTACACTCAATTTTTGTTAAGGTGATTTTTTTTCTTATCATAACTGGCTGTTACCATATACCCGGTCATGATTTTTTTTAAACTAAACCATTTCTGTTGGAAAGGGTCTATTGGACTGGATGGCCCACATACAGTGAAAAGATTTATTGAAAAAGGATTCCAGACTTCAAAATATGGCCCAAGTATTCCGTAATACGTAGTAATAAGTAGTATTCCGTAGGTGCGAAGTTATTTACAGGAACAACGCTTGCTGGCAACTTGCAGTGTCAAATGCGGTGCACTGTTCGAGTGTTCGTCCTCTGCCAGACTCTGTTCGGAACTTCTTGAGAAAAATACACTGCGGTCTCGTACGGTGAAGGCTTATGTATTTATTATAACTGATGTATTTATGTTGTGGCGCATGCTCATGACCGGTTATTTGGTGTCATTTAGTGTAAATCAACGTTATTTATTGGCTGTGTGTTACATCATTCTGACTCAATTATTCGAAGATGCTGGATAAAAAAAAGAATGAATATTTAAATTTGCGATGTACATTCAGTGTGGGGAATGGATAAAGTTCTAATTTTCATTTAGATATTGCGGTGCCTGGGTAGTTCTGAATTTTATAGCATTTTTCTTAAATTCTGGCCTTGAATCCTGGGCAAATGATATCAAGCTTTCAGTAGCTTTAAATCTTATGTCTTTTTGTTGATAAACTAGTGAATCAAAGCGCACGAGTTTTTGATGAGCTTCAAGAATGGCCTCGTGGATCAGAATCAATCGTCGTCCACTTTGTACCATAAGTATATTTGCATTCTATTATTACAGCACTTGAACTGCGAGAATATTAATACGTAATACTTAATAATTACTTAACCCTGTGATATTGCTTAATAAAGAGACGCGAATTTCTGGTAAGTGTCGAAGTTATACGTTGCCCGACCAACTGTAACAGGGCTTTAATTAGAAAGCCAAAGAAACATAGCCATTAATGAGCCGATCGTGCAGTTGTAGAACTTGTGTTAAAACGCGCTTTTGTAAGAATACTTTCATTCGCCTTACCACGGAGAGAGATCACCAGAGGCCGCACTGTCCAAACTTGCTTCACTACACGCAACCGCCTAAGTACACGTAGCGGCTTTAGTGCATGTAGCGGCCTTAGTACACGTAGCGGCCTAAGTACACGTAGCGGCCTAAGTACAAGTAGCGGCCTAAGTACACGGAACGGCCTAAGAACACGTAGCGGCTTTTGCTCATGCAGCGGCCTAAATACGCGTAGCGGCTTTAGCACATGCAGCGGCCTAAGCTCACGCAGCAGCTTTAGCACGCGTTACGGTACAAGTACACGTAACGGCCTAAGTACCGGTACAAGTAGCGGCCTAAGTACACGTAGCGGCTTAAGTTCACGTAGTGGCTCATGTACACGCAGCGGCCTAAGTACACGCAGCGGCCTAAGTACACGTAGCGTCCTAAGTACATCCAGCGGCTGATTTCTCGTCTGTGATAGGTGGTTTTAGTTTGAAAATCTGGTAGTGATTGGCTTACTAACAGCAGTTACTAACTCACCTCTTTTTGAGGAAACGACTCCCGATCTATTCGATGCCGTGCACACACGATTCTGTGGTAACATTATTTTGCACTTTATGTTCAAAAATTCAATGATATTTTTTGTAGGATAGTCTATATTTGTGTCATGGATGTTGTTCAATGGGAGTTCTTCGATCATTTATTAAATCAGTTTCTCTCAAACTCGTATAACAGAGCAAGTTTATGCATAGTGAAGTACGAAATTTTATTTTTTTGATCCTGATGTGAGTTGAATGCATTTATCTGGGGTAATTGTAACACTGTTATATCTCACATTATTTAGTTGAGAATTTATAATTGATGAATTATCAAAGGTTACTTCTGACAACCCTTAATTAAACTATCAAAATCATGGTAGAAATCTAGATGGTCAGGATCGATATTAGTTATTACCACAATGATTGCTGTTCAAAAATTTGTGTTTGCACTTCGTTTCAGTATAAAGGTTTAGAAATTATCTTCTCGCATTGCATTGAGAGTAATACTTCTGTTCCTGCGTTGACATGAAATGAAAGATGTAAATTATCCGTGTGTATCAATGATGATTATACTTGTGCAAAAGGACATATGGTATAGTGCCTTGGTAAATTAGATAACCAGAGGAAAAAGGTACGTTTTCCATAGCTTCGTGCTTGGGAGGTTTGGATGCAATCTAGTTTTGTGCATCGCTGTCTTCTGTCTCAACCTCACAGAATTTCGGCGTGCTAACAGTTTGATTCGCGCGCAGTTTTTTTTGTTACTGCTGCCAGTAGCTCATAACACTTAACACATTACTGGCACCGGTGTACAATGTTACTTGCAATGTATAGCATAGTCCCGTCGGAGATTTGGCCAAGTCTGGACTGTCACCGATTATTCCGATGCTCGTAAGTTGTCCCTAGGAATTTTAGAAACTGGACATTTAATCGCATACATCGAAACTGACATGGCAGTGTGAACAGAACTGTGCGTATAACGTGCAGTGTTCCGCCTCAAAATCAGACACCTTAGGCATTAATGAACAGAACTGCGCGAAAACATTCAGTGTTCCGCCTCAAAACATTAGACCTGTTTCAAGTCGAGACCTCAAAACATGCAGTGTTTCGCCTCGAAATTCGAGGCCTTAGGCATTAGTGAACAGAACTGCGCGAAAATCATTCCGCCTCAAAACCCGAGACCTGTGGCAGCGTGAACAGAACTGTGCGTATTACGTGCAGTGTTCCGCCTCAAAATAAGACACCTTAGGCATTAGTGAACAGAACTGCGCGAAAATCATTCCGCCTCAAAACCCGAGACCTGTGGCAGCGTGAACAGAACTGTGCGTAGAACGTGCAATGTTTCATGATAGAATCGCGCGTGGAAGTAAGCGTGGTGAAACCACCAGTGCTGCCAAGCGCGTAGTGACGATGTTGTGCGTGTTG